TTTTTTTTTTTTTTCCTAATGTTTCAGGTGCTCAGCTGGAGACCCAGGTCCTGGAATTCCACGAGGAAACCCGAGTCAAGTTCTCGGAGCTGTCGGAGGAGCTGCTATGGGAGTACATTCACAGCGGGGAGCCCATGTGAGTCCCGAGGGGTTCACGGAGCGGGCAGAGCGCGACCCCCAGGGAGCCCGGAGCGGCCGCCACAGCCCCACCGTGCGCATGTGCAGCCTGGCGCATACGCTGGGCGGCTGGGGCGTGACTCCCAGGGAGGCCTGATGGGCAGCCCGTGTGAGTCCCGTGGGGCTAGTGGAGGGGGCAGAGCGCGACCCCCAGGGAGCCCGGAGCGGCCGCCACAACTCCACCGTGCGCATGTGCAGAGCTGGCGCATACGCTGAGCAGCGGCTGGGGCGTCACTCGCAGGGAAGCCACCTGGAGCCGGCAGCCACGGGTGCACCGTGCGCATGTGCGGAACGGGCATGCGCGGCTTGGTGCATGCGCAGAGCGGCTGGGGCGTCACTCGCCGGCCTGTGGCCGTGGGGAGCCCACGTGGGTCTTGGCGAGGCACTGGGAGTGGCCCGAGGGCGACCCTCAGGGACGCTGCCCGGAGCCGGCGTCCGCAACCTGTGGTCCTGCTCTGCTCGGACCCAAGGGGCGCTGCAGCGTGTAGCGGCCTAAGCGTGTTGGGGTGTTTCCTTGGGGTCCAAGAAGACGGTGGGGGCTCGATGGTAGAATTATCCGCTCCACGCAGGAGACGTGGGTCCGATTCCCGGCTCGTGCACCCCCGGGCATCCGCAACCCCGTCTCTCCGGGGAGCCTGCGTGTGGCTGTGGTGCTCACCGGGGTTCAGCGGCGCTGCCAGGCGCACTGCCCGGCCACGTGCCAGCCTCACGGTGGTTGCCATGCAGGAGCCCATCGCTGCAGCCACCGTGTCCGTCCATCTCATTGAGGGCCTGCCCCTTTGTCCCTGACCCTCCACTTTCCCAAGCATGACATCCTCCCCCAGGGACTGGGTCCCTTCTGACGACAGGACCAAGGTCGGCGAGATGAAGTCTGGCCATTCTGGCTTCTAAGGAGCATCCCAGCTGCACTTCTTCCGGGACAGAGGTGTTCATTCCTGCGGCAGTCCGTGGTCCGCCCAGCATCCTCCGCCAGCACCACAGCTCTGCTTCCGTCTGCCTTATTCATTGCCCAGCTCTCACACGCATATGAGGCCACTGAAACACCATGGCCCAGTTTAGTCTTCAGAATGAATGTTCACTTTCTGGTGAGCAGCTGAGTCAGCCCTGTGGCCATCACAAGGACGTGGAGGGAGCCAGGACCACCCGGCTCCTTCCAGTGTCTGCTACTCAGCCTGCACAGGTTGGGCTGTCACGGTCCCGCTTAAACCAAGGGAGGCGGCAGGCTCAGGCTGGTGACGGCACGGATGGGCGCACTGCGGGGTCACCAGCGGCTACCTCCCTGGGTTCTCCCCCACCCCCCCCAGG